GACCCCCTCTCCCCAGGTACAATAACTTCATGAATGACCCCCTCTCCCCAGGTACAATAACTTCATGAATGACCCCCCTCTCCCCAGGTACAATAACTTCATGAATGACCCCCTCTCCCCAGGTACAATAACTTCATGAATGACCCCCTCTCCCCAGGTACAATAACTTCATGAATGACCCCCTCTCCCCAGGTACAATAACTTCATGAATGACCCCCTCTCCCCAGGTACAATAACTTCATGAATGACCCCCTCTCCCCAGGTACAATAACTTCATGAATGACCCCCTCTCCCCAGGTACAATAACTTCATGAATGACCCCCTCTCCCCAGGTACAATAACTTCATGAATGACCCCCTCTCCCCAGGTACAATAACTTCATGAATGACCCCCTCTCCCCAGGTACAATAACTTCATGAATGACCCCCTCTCCCCAGGTACAATAACTTCATGAATGACCCCCTCTCCCCAGGTACAATAACTTCATGAATGACCCCCTCTCCCCAGGTACAATAACTTCATGAATGACCCCCCTCTCCCCAGGTACAATAACTTCATGAATGACCCCCTCTCCCCAGGTACAATAACTTCATGAATGACCCCCTCTCCCCAGGTACAATAACTTCATGAATGACCCCCTCTCCCCAGGTACAATAACTTCATGAATGACCCCCTCTCCCCAGGTACAATAACTTCATGAATGACCCCCTCTCCCCAGGTACAATAACTTTATGAATGACCCCCTCTCCCCAGGTACAATAACTTCATGAATGACCCCCTCTCCCCAGGTACAATAACTTCATGAATGACCCCCTCTCCCCAGGTACAATAACTTCATGAATGACCCCCTCTCCCCAGGTACAATAACTTCATGAATGACCCCCTCTCCCCAGGTACAATAACTTCATGAATGACCCCCTCTCCCCAGGTACAATAACTTCATGAATGACCCCCTCTCCCCAGGTACAATAACTTCATGAATGACCCCCTCTCCCCAGGTACAATAACTTCATGAATGACCCCCTCTCCCCAGGTACAATAACTTCATGAATGACCCCCTCTCCCCAGGTACAATAACTTCATGAATGACCCCCTCTCCCCAGGTACAATAACTTAATGAATGACCCCCTCTCCCCAGGTACAATAACTTTATGAATGACCCCCCTCTCCCCAGGTACAATAACTTCATGAATGACCCCCTCTCCCCAGGTACAATAACTTCATGAATGACCCCCTCTCCCCAGGTACAATAAATTCATGAATGACCCCCTCTCCCCAGGTACAATAACTTCATGAATGACCCCCTCTCCCCAGGTACAATAACTTCATGAATGACCCCCTCTCCCCAGGTACAATAACTTCATGAATGACCCCCTCTCCCCAGGTACAATAACTTCATGAATGACCCCCTCTCCCCAGGTACAATAACTTCATGAATGACCCCCTCTCCCCAGGTACAATAACTTCATGAATGACCCCCTCTCCCCAGGTACAATAACTTCATGAATGACCCCCTCTCCCCAGGTACAATAACTTCATGAATGACCCCCTCTCCCCAGGTACAATAACTTCATGAATGACCCCCTCTCCCCAGGTATAATAACTTCATGAATGACCCCCTCTCCCCAGGTACAATAACTTCATGAATGACCCCCTCTCCCCAGGTACAATAACTTCATGAATGACCCCCTCTCCCCAGGTACAATAACTTCATGAATGACCCCCTCTCCCCAGGTACAATAACTTCATGAATGACCCCCTCTCCCCAGGTACAATAACTTCATGAATGACCCCCTCTCCCCAGGTACAATAACTTCATGAATGACCCCCTCTCCCCAGGTACAATAACTTCATGAATGACCCCCTCTCCCCAGGTACAATAACTTCATGAATGACCCCCTCTCCCCAGGTACAATAACTTCATGAATGACCCCCTCTCCCCAGGTACAATAACTTCATGAATGACCCCCTCTCCCCAGGTACAATAACTTCATGAATGACACCCTCTCACCAGGTACAATAACTTCATGAATGACCCCCTCTCCCCAGGTACAATAAATTCATGAATGACCCCCTCTCCCCAGGTACAATAACTTCATGAATGACCCCCTCTCCCCAGGTACAATAACTTCATGAATGACCCCCTCTCCCCAGGTACAATAACTTTATGAATGACCCCCTCTCCCCAGGTACAATAACTTCATGAATGACCCCCTCTCCCCAGGTACAATAACTTCATGAATGACCCCCTCTCCCCAGGTACAATAACTTCATGAATGACCCCCTCTCCCCAGGTACAATAACTTCATGAATGACCCCCTCTCCCCAGGTACAATAACTTCATGAATGACCCCCTCTCCCCAGGTACAATAACTTCATGAATGACCCCCTCTCCCCAGGTACAATAACTTCATGAATGACCCTCTCTCCCCAGGTACAATAACTTCATGAATGACCCCCTCTCCCCAGGTACAATAACTTCATGAATGACCCCCTCTCCCCAGGTACAATAACTTCATGAATGACCCCCTCTCCCCAGGTACAATAACTTAATGAATGACCCCCTCTCCCCAGGTACAATAACTTTATGAACGACCCCCTCTCCCCAGGTACAGTAACTTCATGAATGACCCCCCTCTCCCCAGGTACAATAACTTCATGAATGACCCCCTCTCCCCAGGTACAATAACTTCATGAATGACCCCCTCTCCCCAGGTACAATAAATTCATGAATGACCCCCTCTCCCCAGGTACAATAACTTCATGAATGACCCCCTCTCCCCAGGTACAACAACTTCATGAATGACCCCCTCTCCCCAGGTACAATAACTTCATGAATGACCCCCTCTCCCCAGGTACAATAACTTCATGAATGACCCCCTGTCCCCAGGTACAATAACTTCATGAATGACCCCCTGTCCCCAGGTACAATAACTTCATGAATGACCCCCTCTCCGCAGGTACAATAACTCCATGAATGACCCCCTCTCCCCAGGTACAATAACTTCATGAATGACCCCCTCTCCCCAGGTACAATAACTTCATGAATGACCCCCTCTCCCCAGGTACAATAACTTCATGAATGACCCCCTCTCCCCAGGTACAATAACTTCATGAATGACCCCCTCTCCCCAGGTACAATAACTTCATGAATGACCCCCTCTCCCCAGGTACAATAACTTCATGAATGACCCCCTCTCCCCAGGTACAATAACTTCATGAATGACCCCCTCTCCCCAGGTACAATAACTTCATGAATGACCCCCTCTCCCCAGGTACAATAACTTCATGAATGACCCCCTCTCCCCAGGTACAATAACTTCATGAATGACCCCCTCTCCCCAGGTACAATAACTTTATGAACGACCCCCTCTCCCCAGGTACAGTAACTTCATGAATGACCCCCCTCTCCCCAGGTACAATAACTTCATGAATGACCCCCTCTCCCCAGGTACAATAACTTCATGAATGACCCCCTCTCCCCAGGTACAATAAATTCATGAATGACCCCCTCTCCCCAGGTACAATAACTTCATGAATGACCCCCTCTCCCCAGGTACAACAACTTCATGAATGACCCCCTCTCCCCAGGTACAATAACTTCATGAATGACCCCCTCTCCCCAGGTACAATAACTTCATGAATGACCCCCTGTCCCCAGGTACAATAACTTCATGAATGACCCCCTGTCCCCAGGTACAATAACTTCATGAATGACCCCCTGTCCCCAGGTACAATAACTTCATGAATGACCCCCTCTCCGCAGGTACAATAACTCCATGAATGACCCCCTCTCCCCAGGTACAATAACTTCATGAATGACCCCCTCTCCCCAGGTACAATAACTTCATGAATGACCCCCTCTCCCCAGGTACAATAACTTCATGAATGACCCCCTCTCCCCAGGTACAATAACTTCATGAATGACCCCCTCTCCCCAGGTACAATAACTTCATGAATGACCCCCTCTCCCCAGGTACAATAACTTCATGAATGACCCCCTCTCCCCAGGTACAATAACTTCATGAATGACCCCCTCTCCCCAGGTACAATAACTTCATGAATGACCCCCTCTCCCCAGGTACAATAACTTCATGAATGACCCCCTCTCCCCAGGTACAATAACTTCATGAATGACCCCCTCTCCCCAGGTACAATAACTTCATGAATGACCCCCTCTCCCCAGGTACAATAACTTCATGTATGACCCCCTCTCCCCAGGTACAATAACTTCATGAATGACCCCCTCTCCCCAGGTACAATAACTTCATGAATGACCCCCTCTCCCCAGGTACAATAACTTCATGAATGACCCCCTCTCCCCAGGTACAATAACTTCATGAATGACCCCCTCTCCCCAGGTACAATAACTTCATGAATGACCCCCTCTCCCCAGGTACAATAACTTCATGAATGACCCCCTCTCCTCAGGTACAATAACTTCATGAATGACCCCCTCTCCTCAGGTACAATAACTTCATGAATGACCCCCTCTCCCCAGGTACAATAACTTCATGAATGACCCCCTGTCCCCAGGTACAATAACTTCATGAATGACCCCCTCTCCCCAGGTACAATAACTTCATGAATGACCCCCTCTCCCCAGGTACAATAACTTCATGAATGACCCCCTCTCCCCAGGTACAATAACTTCATGAATGACCCCCTCTCCCCAGGTACAATAACTTCATGAATGACCCCCTCTCCTCAGGTACAATAACTTCATGAATGACCCCCTCTCCCCAGGTACAATAACTTCATGAATGACCCCCTGTCCCGCTGTAACTGCACCCCACCCTACTCAGCTGAGAATGCCATCGCATGTCGTGATGACCTGAACCCCATCAATGGAACATATGAATTTGGTGCCTTAGGTCATAGACCTCATATTGCTACAGATATGAAGGTAAGTTTATAGGTCATAGACCTCACATTGTGTCTAGATATGAAGGTAAGTTAATAGGTCATAGACCTCATATTGCTACAGATATGAAGGTAAGTTTATAGGTCATTGACCTCACATTGCTACAGATATGAAGGTAAGTTTATAGGTCATTGACCTCACATTGCTACAGATATGAAGGTAAGTTAATAGGTCATAGACCTCACATTGCCACAGATATGAAGGTAAGTTTATAGGTCATTGACCTCACATTGTGTCTAGATATGAAGGTAAGTTAATAGGTCATAGACCTCACATTGCCACAGATATAAAGGTAAGTTTATAGGTCATTGACCTCACATTGTGTCTAGATATGAAAATAAATGTGTAGATCATTGACCTCCTAATTTAAATAAAAAACCTAACAGCTCTAATTTTAGAACACAGTTTGATAACTTTAAGAATTAAGAAAGAATAATCTATAATCCTGGACAAGTTCTGCTAACCACCTGGTTTAATGAAATAAGTACTGCTGACTTGCTCTAATCCCCTGCTAATCTGGTTTAATCCCCTGCTAATCTGGTTTAATCCCCAGCTAATCTGGTTTAATCCCCAGCTAATCTGGTTTAATCCCCTGCTAATCTGGTTTAATCCCCTGCTAATCTGGTTTAATCCCCAGCTAATCTGGTTTAATCCCCAGCTAATCTGGTTTAATCCCCAGCTAACGAGCTCCAAACTGTTTGAGTCCCTGTCTTTCCTCGCCATCAGCAGTCCGACCTACGACGACCTGCCCGCCTTCCAGTGGAGCAAGTCTGACTACCAGTACATGTCCCATCTGGGCCACCCTGACCTCTGGAACTTTCCAGTCATCACTTTTAATGGCACCGCACCCATGTCATAGCACAGATGTCATGTGTCACAAATGTCATGTGTCACAGATGTCATAGCACAGATGTCATGTCACAGATATCATGTCACACTTTCACACCCCCCCCCCCCCCCCCCTGTCTGTAAAAGAAAAAATCCACAAACTTTGAGCTGTAAACTGGTTGAGACCTCTAGCTCACCTGGAGCACAACTAATTCATCTGTTCATGCTGGTGTGTGTTAGTTAGATCAGTGCCTTTTTGTGGTGATGTTAAACATAAAATGTCAAATTACATGTCAGTTAAATGTTTTGTTGTCAAAACAAGTCTTTTTTTTTTAACTGTAGTTTTCTGTGTTTGTTTTCATTGAGTTCTGGGGTCAAAGGGTATAATATAATAGAGTTCGTGTCAAAACATGTGCTGATCTAGCTAGTCAAAGATACATCTTGTAAAGACAACTTTCTCTAAGAATAATATTATATAGGAGTTTGGCCTGAACTGCCTTCAGAGATATCTGACAGATGGTCTGCCCAGAGATATCTGACAGATGGTCTGCCCAGAGATATCTGACAGATGATCTGCCCAGAGATATCTGACAGATGATCTGCCCAGAGATATCTGACATGATCTGCCCAGAGATATCTGACAGATGATCTGCCCAGAGATATCTGACAGATGATCTGTCCAGAGGTATCTGACAGATGATCTGCCCAGAGGTATCTGACAGATGATCTGCCCAGAGATATCTGACAGATGATCTGCCCAGAGATATCTGACAGATGATCTGCCCAGAGATATCTGACAGATGATCTGCCCAGAGATATCTGACAGATGATCTGCCCAGAAGGTCAATAGGCCTGACCTATTGTTTGACCTACATACCCACTTCCTGTGGCTGACTTTCACACAGGTCTGGCACTAGAATGAACTACAGACCTGTCAGATAAATATATTCTGCTTTGATCATTCCAGCTTTTTTTTTTTAAATTAAAAATTTTTTAATCATTTTATGCTGTATTTATTTTGTATTTTGTTTAAACTGTTGAATGATGTACTGAACTGGTGTATTTCAAACTTTTTATTCCTTTTAAAATTATTTGCTGAATTATGGGCCTTGAAATTCTTTCCCCTGTATTACGTCACCTGACACCTGTATGCCCACCTGTTCCCCCTGACACCTGTATGCCCATGTGTTCCCCCTGACACCTGTATGCCCATGTGTTCCCCCTGACACCTGTTTGCCCACCTTCCCCCCCCCGACACCTGTATGCCCACCTTACCCCGCCCCCTGACACCTGTTTGCCCACCTGCCCCCCCCCCAACACCTGTATGCCCACCTTCCCCCCCTGACACCTGTATGCCCACCTGCCCCCCCCCGACACCTGTATGCCCACCTGTTCCCCCTGACACCTGTATGCACACCTGCTCCCCTGACACCTGTATGCCCACCTGTTCCCCCTGACACCTGTATGCCCACCTGTTCCCCCTGACACCTGTATGCACACCTGCTCCCCTGACACCTGTATGCCCACCTGTTCCCCCTGACACCTGTATACCCACATGTGCTTCCAAACACCTGTATGCACACCTGCTCCCCTGACACCTGTATGCCCACCTGTTCCCCCTGACACCTGTATGCCCACCTGTTCCCCCTGACACCTGTATGCCCACCTGCTCCCCTAACACCTGTATACCCACCTGTTCCACAATAGCTGAGTTCCCCTTTTCCAAAAGTCAAGCTTTAAAGCCAGGACATCGTGAATCAACCAACCCCCAAAAAAAAACTGTGAAACAGCCACCAAGAAAAAACTGAAGTCCTTGTTGAACCTGTGACAAGCCTGTGGGTATCGACCGGTCAGTGGGGAGGGGCACATCACTCACGTCCCGTCTCTCAGTATCGACCAATTGTTTACCTGGGCAGGGAGATGATTGCTAATGAAGTGAGATCAATACATCTCAGCAGGGATGAGGTAATGATGAGGTACACTGGTCACGTGAGGCGATATCTTAGGGTGGCAGAGTGTGGCAGGTTTGTTTGCTGAACTTACTAGCAGGGGGGGTGTACTGGGTTGTCATGGGGATGTGTATTGGGTTGTCAGGGAGGTTTGTTGGGTTGTCAGGGGAGTGAATAAGGTTATCATGGGTTGGATATGGTTGTTAGTAGCGTAAATAAGGTTGTCAGGGGAGTGAATGCATTTTTCATTCCTATCAACCGACCCATGAAGAATTGAGCCAGACCAGAGTAGACAGTGCAATCTGCCGTTGCATTAACATATTATCTTAGTGTCATTATTCATTTCTTATGTTTTATCCTCGAGTTATTATATTTTTTACCAATGCCTCATTATCTAAAATAAGTTTTTTTGTTAAATCTTTTTTTTATATATATTTTATGGGCGATACCTTAAATTAATTAGATTTTGAAATAAAACCTTCGAAAAACCGTCCAAAAAACTTTTACTGTCGGATCCATCTGCTGCGCATCTGTGTAGAGCTTATTCTATAAAATCGAGAAAGAAACTGTTTCAAATGAACGGATGTGACACATTACTTAGTTACTTGTATTTGTCAACAAACGCCTTTGGTTCGCACATTGAAAAATTTTGGTTCGCACATTGAAACATTTTGGTTCGCACATTGAAACATTGTACACTCTTTGATAGATTTGATTTAATTACTGACTGACAGACAGAAATAAGGTGATATATTGAGGCTAACACTGGTATTAAGCTCTTAGGTTTAAATATATTATTATATACATATGCTAATACTGGTATCGTTGAGTATTGATCTAGACTCTAGGTTTACATCTAGATCTTTCAATACACCAGTCATTAGCATTAAATAATGTTCCTAACTCTATGACTGGTCTAACGCTACATGGGCCTATGGCTCGTGGGATTTATGGATAAAAAGGTCTAGATCTATGGATAATGGGATCGTACTAGCTTAGTAACTAAGGTTTATGAGTACCGGTGTGTATGGTTACTGTGGTTTAATTTGGTCTATGGGTTAGGGTTATAATAATAATGATTTAGTCAAAGTATGTATCACGACTTAAGTAGTTTTGACTAAACCTCTAACCTTAACTAAACACTTTGACAGACTGTCCACTCCCCAAGATGTCTGGTAAACCTCTAACCTTAACTAAACACTTTGACAGACTGTCGACTCCCCAAGATGTCTAGTAAACCTCTAACCTTAACCAAACACTTTGACAGACTGTCCATCTGGTAAACCTCTAACCTTAACTAAACACTTTGACAGACTGTCCACTCCCCAAGATGTCTGGTAAACCTCTAACCTTAACTAAACACTTTGACAGACTGTCCACTCCCCAAGATGTCTGGTAAACCTCTAACCTTAACTAAACACTTTGACAGACTGTCGACTCCCCAAGATGTCTGGTAAACCTCTAACCTTAACCAAACACTTTGACAGACTGTCCATCTGGTAAACCTCTAACCTTAACTAAACACTTTGACAGACTGTCCACTCCCCGAGATGTCTGGTAAACCTCTAACCTTAACTAAACACTTTGACAGACTGTCCACTCCCCAAGATGTCTGGTAAACCTCTAACCTTAACTAAACACTTTGACAGACTGTCCACTCCCTAAGATGTCTGGTAAACCTCTAACCTTAACCAAACACTTTGACAGACTGTCCACTCCCCAAGATGTTTGGTAAACCTCTAACCTTAACTAAACACTTTGACAGACTGTCCACTCCCCAAGATGTCTGGTAAACCTCTAACCTTAACCAAACACTTTGACAGACTGTCCACTCCCCAAGATGTTTGGTAAACCTCTAACCTTAACTAAACACTTTGACAGACTGTCCACTCCCCAAGATGTCTGGTAAACCTCTAACCTTAACTAAACACTTTGACAGACTGTCCACTCCCCAAGATGTCTGGTAAACCTCTAACCTTAACTAAACACGTTGACAGACTGTCCACTCCCCAAGATGTCTGGTAAACCTTAACTAAACACTTTGACAGACTGTCCATCTGGTAAACCTCTAACCTTAACTAAACACTTTGACAGACTGTCCACTCCCCAAGATGTCTGGTAAACCTCTAACCTTAACCAAACACTTTGACAGACTGTCCACTCCCCAAGATGTCTGGTAAACCTTAACTAAACACTTCGACAGACTGTCCATCTGGTAAACCTCTAACCTTAACTAAACACTTTGACAGACTGTCCACTCCCCAAGATGTCTGGTAAACCTCTAACCTTAACTAAACACTTTGACAGACTGTCGACTCCCCAAGATGTCTGGTAAACCTCTAACCTTAACTAAACACTTTGACAGACTGTCCACTCCCCAAGATGTCTGGTAAACCTCTAACCTTAACACTTTGACAGACTGTCCACTCCCTAAGATGTCTAGTAAACCTCTAACCTTAACTAAACACTTTGACAGACTGTCCACTCCCCAAGATGTCTAGTAAACCTCTAACCTTAACTAAACACTTTGACAGACTGTCCACTCCCCAAGATGTCTGGTAAACCTCTAACCTTAACTAAACACTTTGACAGACTGTCCACTCCCCAAGATGTCTGGTAAACCTCTAACCTTAACTAAACACTTTGACAGACTGTCCACTCCCCAAGATGTCTGGTAAACCTCTAACCTTAACTAAACACTTTGACAGACTGTCCACTCCCCGAGATGTCTGGTAAACCTCTAACCTTAACTAAACACTTTGACAGACTGTCCACTCCCCAAGATGTCTGGTAAACCTCTAACCTTAACTAAACACTTTGACAGACTGTCCACTCCCCAAGATGTCTAGTAAACCTCTAACTAAGATGTCTGGACTACCCGAGTCTCGCCCCCTAAGGACGGGCATGAGGAGGAAGGTGACCATCGACCCTGTGTCACGTGACTTTACCATCGTGGTTGACGGCAAGGAGTTCAAAAGCCGGCGCCAACTGCTGAGCGCAGCCTCCAAGTACTTTGACGCCATGTTCAGAAGCAACATGAAGGAGACGCAGGAAGGTCGCGTGGAGCTGACGGACATGCGCAGTAAGACCTTCGCTACAGTGCTAAAGTTCATCCACAGGCGAGTGCCTGGCCTGACGGCGGACAACATTGACGATGTTTGGGAGGCGGCCAATCGGCTGGACACAGAGACCTACCTGCAAGTGTGTGAGCAGTTCGTCATCGACAATTTGTCTCTTGACAATTTTTCACACTTCTATCAAGCGGCCACTGACTTCAATTCAAAAAACGTGAAGGACGCCATGTTAAGTTTCATGAAGCGAAACTTTGAACAAGTTTATACGACGGAGGAGTTTCTGAACTTGTCATTTCCTGTGGTCTTATCCTTTGTGGAGGATGACGAGCTGAATGTCGCGAGTGAGGAAGTTGTTCTAGACGGGATCTTGTGCTGGGTGTCACGTGGGAGATATCGACCCGGCACTGCTCTGTCACCTGACGACAAGCACACGGGGGAAGAGGCTGGGGACACAGATGACCAGTCGGATGACGACTCAGACGATTGGCAATATGATGACTTCACGGACGATTGGGAATATGATGACGATGGGCAGTCTGATGACTCAGCAGCTTTCGGAGACAGTGGTGACTCTATTCAGACAAAAGACGTCACAAGTAACAACTCGGGCCTCGACCACCCAGCAGATGAGAGAGCAGACTACCTCGCCAAATTGTTTTCCAGCGCTAAAATGGTTTTAGCGAGCCAGAGTTATCTACAAAGTTTGCTCACTAACCCCTACGTGTGCGCATGTCCGTCTGCTCTTGAAGTCGTACAGGAAGCTCTCAAGTTCAAGGTCGGCGTGTACCCTCACGAAAGTTCCCTGCTGATACCCTACAGGAAATCTTGTGGCAAAAGGAATGTGGTCGCCAGCGTGGTCAACTCGGACCTTCGACTCTACGACTTGGAGAGCAGAAGTCTGACCAGCGTTAAGCTGAACCAGCTCAAGGGACGGTCTAAAACCAACGTGCCTGTCGTCTCCCTCGGGTCCCAACTTGCCTTTGTGTGTCTCAAGTTCAAAAGCGAATGTTCCTACGCCAAACACAAGTGCCGGCCCAAAGCTATCCACACCGTTGATGAAAACCAAAACATCTCTACCCTGTACGAGGTGTGCGGCAACCAAAACATGCCGATCACGCTTGTCTCTGTCAACGGGAAGGTTCTCAACGTCTGCCACTGCGCCACCAGAAGTCGGGTGGTCGACCCAGACTTGTTCCAGATACTCCAGCTCGACCAAAACATCAAGTTTAAATTCACCTGCGTCTTTGACAACACCATCCTGCTCTTCAAAAACTCGGATTTTTATGAAGACCGGAATCGAACGGACAATATGACCGTCAACTGCTACAGCTTGGAGTCCAAGTCCATTTCAACCGTTGAAATACCCAACCAGGCCTCCAACCAAAACATTGTGGCCGTGCACAAAGACAAGCACCTGTATCTGCTGCTGTCTAGCGGCGCTTTACTTTCGGTCTCCCGGGGTGGGGACAACACGATACAGTTCACGGTTGTCAACCATCTGTGGCGACACTTCGACCTGATGCTGTCGGGGGCAGTTTGCTACAAAGACGAGCTGATTATGTTCCTCATCGATGACGGGACGGACTACTCGACGATGCTGACGTCATTGCCCGGCTTGTTTGAGAAGATCAGCGTAGAGGTGCTGGAGGAAGACTTTGACGTCATGGAGGTCAGCTTCGCTCCCATGGTGGTGCCGGACTCTTGGGTCAGCAGTGCCGAAGTGACTGAGTGCCAAAGTGACTGAGTGCCAAAGTGACTGAGTAATTAGTCAATAGTCAGTCATTGGTCAATAATTAGTGCCAAAGTGCTGGAGTAATTAGTCAATAGTCAGTCCTTAGTCAATAATTAGTGCCAAAGTGCATGAATAATGAGTCAATAGTCAGTCCTTGGTCAATAATTAGTGCCAAAGTGCATGAATAATGAGTCAATAGTCAGTCCATGGTCAATAATTAGTGCCGAAGTGCCTGAGTAATTAGTCAATAGTCAGTCCTTGGTATACAATTAGTGCCAAAGTAATTAGTCAATAGTCAATCCTTGGTATATAATAAGTTTGAGCTATTATTTTCAATCCATCAACGCGAAGGTTACCGGGTAATTAGGCTTTTTATACATGTATAATTTGTATTATATTGTTATAATATTTCTCTTGTTTATATATTTGTTTTATTTAATAAAAAGACTTTTTTATTAATTATAAATTTTAAAATAAACTCTACAACCATTGAATTATAATAGCTTGAGATATTGTGTTGGTTGTGTAGATTGTGTTGGTTGTGTGGATTGTGTTGGTTGTGTGGATTGTGTTGGTTGTGTGGATTGTGTTGATTGTGTGGATTGTGTGGATTGTGTTGGTTGTGTGGATTGTGTTGGTTGTGTGGATTGTGTTGGTTGTGTGGATTGTGTTGGTTGTGTGGATTGTGTTGGCTGTGTGGATTGTGTTGGTTGTGTGGATTGTGTTGATTGTGTGGATTGTGTGGATTGTGTTGGTTGTGTGAATTGTGTGTGTTGTGTTGGTTGTGTGGATTGTGTGGATTGTGTTGGTTGTGTGGATTGTGTTGATTGTGTGGATTGTGTTGGTTGTGTGGATTGTGTTGGTTGTGTGGATTGTGTTGGTTGTGTCGATTGTGTTGGTTGTGTGGATTGTGTTGATTGTGTTGGTTGTGTGTGTTGTGTTGGTTGTGTGGATTGTGTTGGTTGTGTGGATTGTGTTTGGGTGGATTGTGTTGGTTGTATGGATTGTGTTGGTTGTGTGGATTGTGTTGGTTGTGTGGATTGTGTTGGTTGTGTGGGTTGTGTTGGTTGTGTGGGTTGTGTGGATTGTGTTGATTGTGTTGGTTGTGTGGATTGTGTTGGTTGTGTGGATTGTGTTGGTTGTGTGGATTGTGTTGGTTGTGTGGATTGTGTGGATTGTGTTGATTGTGTGGGTTGTGTTGGTTGTGTGAATTGTGTGGGTTGTGTGGATTGTGTGTGTTGTGTTGGTTGTGTGGATTGTGTTGGTTGTGTGAATTGTGTTGATTGTGTTGATTGTGTTGGTTGTGTGGATTGTGTTGATTGTGTGGATTGTGTTGGTTGTATGGATTGTGTTGGTTGTGTGGATTGTGTTGATTGTGTGGATTGTGTTGGTTGTGTGGATTGTGTTGATTGTGTGGATTGTGTTGGTTGTGTGAATTGTGTGTGTTGTGTTGGTTGTGTGGATTGTGTTGGTTGTGTGGATTGTGTTGGTTGTGTGGATTAGCATTTGTTGCTTCAACTTCAGCTCATCGTCCCTCATCACGTGATCCAATGACCCATCACGTGATCCAATGACCCATCACGTGATCCAATGACCCATCAGGTCTCCCAACCGTTTTCAACCTCTTAACCTCTCCAGTTTTCTGTCCAAATCTCGCAAACAAGTTGTGGGTCAGTTTGACCAAACAAGTAGGGGGTCAGTTTGACCAAACAAGTTGTGGGTCAGTTTGACCAAACAAGTAGGGGGTCAGTTTGACCAAACAAGTTGTGGGTCAGTTTGACCAAACAAGTTGTGGGTCAGTTTGACCAAACAAGTTGTGGGTCAGTTTGACCAAACAAGTAGGGAGTCAGTTTGACCAAACAAGTTGTGGGTCAGTTTGATCAAACAAGTAGGGGTCAGTTTGACCAAACAAGTTGTGGGTCAGTTTGACCAAACAAGTTGTGGGTCAGTTTGACCAAACAAATAGGGGGTCAGTTTGACCAAACAAGGAGGGGGTCAGTTTGAGAAAACAAGGAGGGGGTCAGTTTGACCAAACAAGTAGGGGGTCAGTTTGACCAAACAAGTTGTGGGTCAGTTTGACCAAACAAGTTGTGGGTCAGTTTGACCAAACAAGTTGTGGGTCAGTTTGACCAAACAAGTAGGGGGTCAGTTTGATCAAACAAGTAGGGGATCAGTTTGACCAAACAAGGAAGGGGTCAGTTTGACCAAACAAGTTGTGGGTCAGTTTGATCAAACAAGTAGGGGGTCAGTTTGACCAAACAAGTTGTGGGTCAGTTTGACCAAACAAGTTGTGGGTCAGTTTGACCAAACAAATAGGGGGTCAGTTTGACCAAACAAGTAGGGGGTCAGTTTGACCAAACAAGGAGGGGGTCAGTTTGAGAAAACAAGTAGGGGGTCAGTTTGACCAAACAAGTAGGGGGTCAGTTTGACCAAACAAGTAGGGGGTCAGTTTGATCAAACAAGTAGGGGGTCAGTTTGACCAAACAAGTAAGGGGTCAGTTTGACCAAGCAAGTAGGGGTCAGTTTGATCAAACAAGTTGTGGGTCAGTTTGACCAAGCAAGTAGGGGTCAGTTTGACCAAACAAGTAGGGGGTCAGTTTGATGAAACAAGTAGGGGGTCAGTTTGACCAAACAAGTAAGGGGTCAGTTTGACCAAGCAAGTTGTGGGTCAGTTTGACCAAACAAGTAAGGGGTCAGTTTGACCAAGCAAGTAGGGGGTCAGTTTGATCAAACAAGTAGGGGGTCAGTTTGACCAAACAAGTAAGGGGTCAGTTTGACCAAGCAAGTAGGGGTCAGTTTGACCAAACAAGTAGGGGGTCAGTTTGACCAAACAAGTAGGGGTCAGTTTGATCAAACAAGTAGGGGGTCAGTTTGACCAAACAAGTAGGGATCAGTTTGATCAAACAAGTAGGAGGTCAGTTTTATCGTGTGAAAAAAGGTCGCGGTATTACTGACATATTAATCCGTACATCTTAAATTTGCGTAACGCATTTGGGCAAGTGTCCATTTGGGCATTTGTCGCACTTGGGCAATAGTCCGTTCGGGTATTTATCGCACACGGCAAGTGTCCGTTCGCGCATTTGTCGCACTTGGGCAAGTGTCCGTTACGGGGAGATCGGCCTTCGGGCAACCTCAAACGACATTCGGGCAAGTGTCTTTCGGGAAAACGTCCGGCCCCCGTTGTAATCGCTTTGTTTACATGTGTTTTTGTCAAATTTATTTTTCCAGGTTAAGTTTGAGGAATTTTTGTGCTATGCTGAAACGACACAGAACCTTAAAAAAATATTAGCCTGAACATCGTCTGCCTGAACATCGTCTGCCTGAACATCGTCTGCCTGAACATCGTCTGCCTGAACATCATCTGCCTGAACATCGTCTGCCTGAACATCGTCTGCCTGAACATCATCTGCCTGAACATCGTCTGCCTGAACATCGTCTGCCTGAACATCATCTGCCTGAACATCGTCTGCCTGAACATCGTCTGCCTGAACATCATCTGCCTGAACATCGTCTGCCTGAACATCGTCTGCCTGAACATCATCTGCCTGAACATCGTCTGCCTGAACATCGTCTGCCTGAACATCGTCTGCCTGAACATCGTCTGCCTGAACATCGTCTGCCTGAGCATCATCTGCCTGAACATCGTCTGCCTGAACATCGTCTGCCTGAAGACGGTCAGCCCTAACCTGAGCCGGCACGTGGACAGCTGCACGCGAGACATGGAGGCTCATATGGATCGTTTTTTCTTCAAGGTCAACTTTGTCATCAAAGGTGTTTAAAAGTAAAATTGACTTACTTTTAATATGGATTAGTTGTCCTTGCGGCAGCCTTCTAACCAATTCAATAAATTAAAATGTTCATAAAAAATATTAGACAAAATATCTCAAGGACAAATGATCTCAAGGACAAAAGATACCAGGACAAAATATATTAGAACAAATGATACCATGGACAATATTGATCTCAGACAAAATATCTCAGACAAAATATCTCACAGCAAAATTGCAACTTTCTCTGGTCAGTTGCAACTTTCTCTGGACAATTGCAACTTTCTCTGAACAATTGCAACTTTCTCTGGTCAATTGCAACTTTCGCTGGTCAATTGCAACTTTCTCTGGTCAATTGCAACTTTCTCTGAACAATTACAACTTTCTCTGAACAATTGCAACTTTCTCTGGTCAATTGCAACTTTCTCTGGTTGATTGCAACTTTCTCTGGTCGATTGCAACTTTCTCTGGTCGATTGCAACTTTCTCTGGTCAATTGCAACTTTCGCTGTTCAATTGTAACTTTCTCTGGACAATTGCAACTTTCTCTGAACAATTGCAACTTTCTCTGAACAATTGCAACTTTCTCTGGTCGATTGCAACTTTCTCTGGTCGATTGCAAATTTCTCTGGTCAATTGAAACTTTCTCTGGTCGATTGCAACTTTCTCTGGTCAATTGCAACTTTCTCTGGTCAATTGCAACTTTCTCTGAACAATTGCAACTTTCTCTGGTCAATTGCAACTTTCGCTGGTCAATTGCAACTTTCTCTGGTCAATTGCAACTTTCTCTGAACAATTACAACTTTCTCTGAACAATTGCAACTTTCTCTGGTCGATTGCAACTTTCTCTGGTCGATTGCAACTTTCTCTGGTCAATTGCAACTTTCTCTGGTCGATTGCAACTTTCTCTGGTCGATTGCAACTTTCTCTGGTCGATTGCAATTTTCTCTGGTCGATTGCAACTTTCTCTGGTCAATTGCAATTTTCTCTGGTCGATTGCAACTTTCTCTGGTCGATTGCAATTTTCTCTGGTCGATTGCAATTTTCTCTGGTCAATTGCAACTTTCTCTGGTCAATTGCAACTTTCTCTGAACAATTACAACTTTCTCTGAACAATTGCAACTTTCTCTGGTCAATTGCAACTTTCTCTGGTCGATTGCAACTTTCTCTGGTCGATTGCAACTTTCTCTGGTCGATTGCAACTTTCTCTGGTCGATTGCAACTTTCTCTGGTCGATTGAAACTTTCTCTGGTCGATTGCAACTTTCTCTGAACAATTGCAACTTTCTCTGGTCAATTGCAACTTTCGCTGGTCAATTGCAACTTTCTCTGGTCAATTGCAACTTTCTCTGAACAATTACAACTTTCTCTGAACAATTGCAACTTTCTCTGGTCGATTGCAACTTTCTCTGGTCGATTGCAACTTTCTCTGGTCAATTGCAACTTTCTCTGGTCGATTGCAACTTTCTCTGGTCGATTGCAACTTTCCCTGGACAATTGCAACTTTCTCTGGACAACTTGACCAGCGCTTGTTACAAGATGAAAATGTTTTACGCGCCAATGTTTCTGGTAGAATAAAATCGGATATTCCCGTAGTGTTGTCATTCACTCCGTGTAGGGCGTGAGCTGTCGGTTGTGTGCGCTAGGGTGAGAGAACACGTACGGGGTCCTACAATACAATAGTGCAGCTACAATTGATATTGACAGTACGGCATCATGGCTAGTCAAGGATGGGAGAACATACCTCCTCATGTTTTATTAAGTATTTTCCAATACTCTTCGCTAAATACTGTTGGGGTATCGGCTCAGGTAATTTTTGTTACAGAAGTTTATGAAGTTATATTGTTCTATTTTGTTACATCGGTTAGACTTTAGACTGGTGGTGTAGGGTAGCAGAGTTACACACTGCTTTTGATTTATTTATTATTTGCGACAAGATTGGAGCTGTTTTGAATGATTGAGTAAATGAATGGCCATAACTAAATTGACGTGAGGCATCCGATTATTATTGTTGACATGGATAAAAAAAATTGTCAGTTTAGCATTCATAACTGAGTGGGGAAAATCAGAAATAAAATGTTTTTAACATCTTTTGAAGTTGTTTAATGTTTTGTTGGTTGTGGGTTGTTCTGTTGTTGTTGTTTTTTTGTTGTTGTTTTTTTTTTTTTTGTAGAATTTTCACGATTGGGTCAATGGATACCATTAATGTACACATTCAATTTCAATGGACCGAATATAGTCTGGTTTGTTGCTTGTGTAGGCTGGCACGGTTGCTACATTTGTGGGTTGGCCTGGTTGCTACATTTGTGGGTTGGCCTGGTTGCTACATTTGAGGGTTGGTCTGGTTGCTACATTTGTGGGTTGGCCTGGTTGCTACATTTGTGGGTTGGCCAAGCTGCTACATTTGTGGGTTGGTTTGGTTGCTTCAATTGTGGGTTGGCCTGGTTGCTACATTTGTGGGTTGGTTTGGTTGCTACAATTGTGGGTTGGCCTGGTTGCTACATTTGTGGGTTGGTCTGGTTGCTACATTTGTGGGTTGGCCTGGTTGCTAGATTTTTGGGTTGGCCCTTTGCTACATTTGTGGGTTGGTTTGGTTGCTACAATTGTGGGTTGGCCTGGTTGCTACATTTGTGGGTTGGTTTGGTTGCTACAATTGTGGGTTGGCCTGGTTGCTAGATTTTTGGGTTGGCCCTTTGCTACATTTGTGGGTTGGTTTGGTTGCTACAATTGTGGATTGGCCTGGTTGCTACATTTGTGGGTTGGTTTGGTTGCTACAATTGTGGGTTGGCCTGGTTGCTACATTTGTGGGTTGGTCTGGTTGCTACATTTGTGGGTTGGCCTGGTTGCTACATTTGTGGGTTGGCCTGGTTTCTGCTTTTGTAGGCTGGCCTGGTTGCTACATTTGTGGGTTGTCCTTGTTGCTAGATTTGTGGGTTGGCCAGGTTGCTATATTTTTGGGTTGGTTTGGTTGCTACATTTGTGGGTTGGCCTGGTTGCTACATTTGTGGGTTGGCCAAGCTGCTACATTTGTGGGTTGGTTTGGTTGCTACAAGTGTGGGTTGGCCTGGTTGCTATATTTCTGGGTTGGCCTGGTTTCTAAATTTGTGGGTTGGCCTGGTTGCTACATTTGTGGGTTGGCCTGGTTGCTACATTTGTGGGTTGGCCTGGTTGCTACATTTGTGGGTTGGCCTGGTTGCTACATGTCACATGTGTGGGTTGGCCTGGTTGCTACATTTGTAGGCTGGCCTGGTTGCTACATTTGTAGGCTGGCCTGGTTGCTACATGTCACATGTGTAGGCTGGCCTGGTTGCTACATGTCACATGTGTGGGTTGGCCTGGTTGCTACATGTCACATGTGTGGGTTGGCCTGGTTGCTACATGTCACATGTGTGGGTTGGCCTGGTTGCTACATGTCACATGTGTGGGTTGGCCTGGTTGCTACATGTCACACGTGTGGGTTGGCCTGGTTGCTACATTTGTAGGTTGGCCTGGTTGCTACATTTGTAGGCTGGCCTGGTTGCTACATGTCACATGTGTAGGCTGGCCTGGTTGCTACATGTCACACGTGTGGGTTGGCCTGGTTGCTACATTTGTAGGCTGGCCTGGTTGCTACATTTGTAGGCTGGCCTGGTTGCTACATGTCACATGTGTAGGCTGGCCTGGTTGCTACATGTCACATGTGTAGGCTGGCCTGGTTGCTACATGTCACATGTGTGGGTTGGCCTGGTTGCTACATGTCACATGTGTGGGTTGGCCTGGTTGCTACATGTCACATGTGTGGGTTGGCCTGGTTGCTACATGTCACATGTGTGGGTTGGCCTGGTTGCTACATGTCACATGTGTGGGTTGGCCTGGTTGCTACATGTCACATGTGTGGGTTGGCCTGGTAGTACCAACCTGATTTATCTTGAAGGTGTGTCACACATGGAAAGACGTGACTGCAGACAAATCACTGTGGCGCAATTTGAGTCTCGAGTTGGACGAAAGCAAATTGGCAGAATCAGGTTAGTGCTATAAATAGAGGCAGGTTAGTGCTATAAATAGGTTAGAAAGCTGTATTGAGGTTTTGATGGTGTTTTGTTGTGTTAATTTACAAGTACATGGTGTCGTGTTAAATATATTCTAGAGATTTGAATGTGTTAAGGTTGATTTACCTTTCTTGCGTTATTCTGCGTTATGTCAGAATAAAATACCTCATGTATGGTTTCATCCATACCGTATCGCTAATGGTTTCTGAGTAACATTATACATATATATATATATATATACATATATATATATACATATATATATATATATATATATATATATATATATATGTATATATATATATATATATATATATATGTATATATATATATATATATATACATATATATATATACATATATATATATATATATATATATATATATATATATATATATATATATATATATGTATATATATATATATATATATATATATATATATATATATATACATCTTCTCAATATGTATGTATGTATATATATATATATATATATATATATATATATATATATATATATATATATATATATATATATACATCTAATATATAAAGCTCAGTTCTGTATGTAATGCATTTGTATGTCGTTGGAATTGTACGAATTTAAGTGTTAGAAAATTATCGTGCGCATTTGTCTAAATTTATGAGCTAAAAAATTACCATTGAAAGTGTTGGGAAATCATTTTCATTTTTCAAATTACAGTAATAATTGTCGGCATGTTCATTAAACACAAGTTTAAAAAAAATATCATCTTTTACAAAAATTCTAATTATGTCTTTATTTAGTCCTATAGCACTTACTTCCCTTTGATAAATTAGGAAAACAAAATTACTTCCCTTTATAAAACCATTGCATTAGTCGAAAATAATTTACTTTTTAATTACTTTGTTTTGGTGTTGGGAAAAAAAAATAATTACATAATTAGCGGGGATTGATCAAGTGCAAATGTTGTAGGTATTTTACGGATAAGCTTGGAGTATTAAAATTGTTCATCAAATTGAAACAGGCGCGTTCGCGTTTAAGTGAGTGCAAAAGACTATGAATAAGTTGGGGTACTATAGTCGTTCATTAAGCTAAAACAGGTGATTCCGCCCCGGGCGTTTATGTTCGCGTTAGTGTTTTCTTTGTGTTTAGGTGGGTTTGCGTTAGTGGTTGCGTTTTGATTTGGTTCGTTTTTGTTCTTTCTTTTTTCGTTTTTGTTTGTGTTTTTTTTTTTTGGGTTTGTATTTGTGTTTTTGGTTGGTTTTGCGTTTGAATTTGGTTTGTTTTCGTTTGCTTTTTCGTTGTTTTTTTTTTTTTGTTGGTATTGGTGTTTGTGGTTGGGTTTGTTGTTAGGTTTTTGTTTTCGTTTGCTTTTTTGTTTGTTTTTTCTTTGTGTTTGTATTGGTGTTTGTGGTTGTGGTTGGGTTTGTTGTTAGGTTTTTGTTTTCGATTGTATTTGTAATTGTGTTAGCGTTATGTTTGCGTTTTGTTGTTTTGGTTTTGGTTGGTTGTGGTTTGGGTGGGCAATGCCGGGTTTATGATGATTACTAAACACACAGGTAATGGTCTTTAACAGGAAGGTTTTTCACAGAAGCCAGAGCAGGGCCTGGCCGGGACGGCTAGTATATATATATACATATATATATATACATATATATATATATATATGTATATATATATATATATATATATATATATATATATATATATATACATCTTCTCAATATGTATATATATATATATATATATATATATATATATATATATATATATATATATATATATATATATATATATATATATATATATGTATATATATATATATATATATATATATATATATATATATATATATATATATATATATATATATATTGAGAAAATATACATATTTATATATATATATATATATATATATATATATATATATATATATATATATATATATATATATATATATATATATATATTGAGAAAATATACATATATATATATACATATATATATATATATATATATATATATATATATATATATATATATATATTGAGAAAATATACATATATATATATACATATATATATATATATATATATATATATATATATATATATATATATATATATATATATATATATATATATATATATATATTGAGAAAATATACATGTATATACATATGTATATATACATATATATTTTTCAACGAACTGATGTAGCTCGTCGAGCTATGGTGTTGACAAAAAAATGTGCGGGTACCATAAGAAGTCTCAGAGTTTCATGTAAAGGATGTAGCTACAACATGAGAACTACGTTTAGCACTCTGAAGGACGTGATGAGGATAATCTGGGGAGCCCAGCTGCGGGTTTTTGAACTGGAGTGGGTGTACCCTGACATCCCTAAGACCACGGCAATAAAGAGTTTCGCGTCATTCCTCAAGAAATTTCTCAAGGATCAAAGGAGTCTGGAGGCAAGTGTTAGACCGTTGTCACATGTAACTGTATTACATCTCGACAGGCGCATTACATGTTGACATGTAATACAAATATGTATAGGGGAATAGCCCGCCCGACATTACAATTTAGAACGATGTAGAAGATAATATCGATAAAGATATAAATATAGATACAGATAAAGATACAGACACAGGAACATATGCAGCTGTGGCTGTATATATAATATATATATATATATATATATATATATATATATATATATATATATATATATATATATATATATATATATATATATATATATATATATATATATATATATAAGTGCAGTAGATAGAAGGATTATATATCTGTACAGGAAAGAGTTAGATTTTTTATTTAAATGCATGTTGATTTCTTCAGTATAAACACATAACACTAGTTCCAAAATAAGAAAACGTTAACAGTAGGCCTATATAACATTATATTTATTACACACACGAAAGCATTAACCTGCGCCCAACACTTTCCACACTAGTATGACCCACTTCTTGTATATCACCTATTTCGCTTTTCTACTCCCAATCAACTCAATTATTTTCATACCTACTATTCTTGGCACTGCTGTACTCAAACCAATTCAACTTAACTCCAATCCTAGACCAATCCTAGACATCTAACTGCTTACCTGTCATCTCTACTAACCTTATATACCGTATAACTGTCGGTGACGCCTCTTTTCGCTTCTCATTGGTTGGGATATACGTCATTTAATTGGTTCTTACCTACTGACCTATGCCTATTCTAACTAAATCCTTTCATTGACCTATTTCTAATGCTACCCAAATTAGCGTCACTACAAATACCCCATCAAAATGCTGTTTTGGGGAAGCCTTATTTCAAAACTCCTCTACTTTAAGAATAAATCAAGTTAAATATAACAATCGTTTTTGTTGCCAACTTAGCAACTCTTCATCGTGTTTACTTTTCAATTGGTCTATCTCGTTGCTTCTATTTCAGACATTTTAGATCTTGTTTTTAAATCGGTCCACAGAAGTTTTCATTCAGACATTCAAATATAGAACCAAAGCACGTGACAACATTCCTGCAAGTCTTAGCCAAATCTTCAGGGGAGACAATCAAGTACATTTCTCTGGACCACTTCTTCTCAGACTTCGATGAATACTTTTCTCTAGGACCAACTTATGAATTCAATACCGCGTTAACAGTAAGTCACGTCACTACACCAATTTATGAATTCAATACCGCGTTAACAGTAAGTCACGTCACTACACCAACTTATGAATTCAATACCGCGTTAACAGTAAGTCACGTCACTACACCAATTTATGAATTCAATACCGCCTTAACAGTAAGTCACGTCACTACACCAACTTATGAATTCAATACCGCGTTAACAGTAAGTCACGTCACTACACCAATTTATGAATTCAATACCGCGTTAACAGTAAGTCACGTCACTACACCAACTTATGAATTCAATACCGCGTTAACAGTAAGTTACGTCACTACACCAATTTATGAATTCAATACCGCGTTAACAGTAAGTCACGTCACTACACCAACTTATGAATTCAATACCGCGTTAACAGTAAGTCACGTCACTACACCAACTTATGAATTCAATACCGCGTTAACAGTAAGTCACGTCACTACACCAACTTATGAATTCAATACCGCGTTAACAGTAAGTCACGTCACTACACCAATTTATGAATTCAATACCGCGTTAACAGTAAGTCACGTCACTTCATTTTTAGTTTAGTTTCCTATACACCTGACGTTTTTAACATACACTGGTACCTGTGTACCTGTATACATGTGTACATGACTGTGTACATGTGTACATTTTTTCATGTGTACATTTGTACATTTCTATATTTCTATAATATCTCCTTGGCTTACCTCATAAAAGATGTTTCCATTTTTAAATGTATAGCAGCTAATGTTGACCTAGCTAATGTTGACCTAGCTAAAGTTGACCTAGCTAATGTTGCCCTAGCTAATGTTGCCCTAGCTAAAGAATCAGATTAACACAAGTCTCCAGCTTTTCAAGCTGTAAAAACTTTGGTCATTCACTTCTTTAATTGATTAGTATATTGCCTTAACCTTCAGAAATAATATTGAATGTGTTTCCTTTTTACTTTCTCGTATACCAAGTATAGAAGAAGTCTTGTAATCGTGCAAAAACTCGTATAGAAGAAGTATTGTAATCGTGGAAAAAAAAACAATCGAGATTTTCACAAATCTTGACGTTTTACACCGGAAAAACATAGTTTTGTAATTTAGTCCGTATGTCTGTGTATGTTTGTGTGTGTGTGTCTCTGAACACGATAACTTGAGAACTGTTACAGCTAGGTTTTTTTCATTTATACGTATTGTATCAAACTCGTAGTTCTGTATCAACTTGTCAGCGATTTTCGGTAACCGGAAGTGGAACTTATTCTACTTTTGGTTTTTCAAAAGCCTATAACTTAAGTACTGTTTCAGATAGATAGACGGAATTTCACATATAAGTAAAAGAACAAATTTTTCTGTCTTCTTTCAAATTTTTGGTAATTTGATTTTAACTAAATGTAGTCTTTACGCAGTTTCCGATTTCTCAAAAAACACATAATATGAATTTATAAAGTACCACTATTCCGCACTATTATACACTCATTGTTTGCTGTTCACTTGGTAATTAAAAGTTGATTAAAACCATGTCAATATCTCGAGTTGCCATCCACCGTAGTGTTATTTAAATATATTCGAGAATGTTTTGGGGAGATCACTCCCGCTTTATCAATACTTTAAAATAAAAGACACTTAAATCTCCCGTCCCTAGTGCATGTATCAAGGTTGTTGAAATGTTAGATGTTGACAGTGTCACTGTGTCAAAGTGTCACATAGTGGCCATCTTGCTTGATCTGTCACAATCATATCCTGTTGGCTAAGGAGTTATCACTAGGCAGATCTGTCACAATCATATCCTGTTGGCTAAGGAGTTATCACTAGGCAGATCTGTCACAATCATATCCTGTTGGCTAAGGAGTTATCACTAGGCAGATCTCTACTCTAAATGTAGCTCTGGTCTAACTATTTGCTTTGCCATTTCTCAACTTACAAAATCTTTATTTGTTTTGACTCCAGAAGTTTACGAATTTAGAGTCACTGGAAATAAAATATCTTTGCGAAGAGCTACTGCAAGATCTAGGCAGAAGTCTGGGGACAAACTTCAAACATTTGTCAATCACTATCGATCAATTAGAAGGTAAGGCACTCATTCTAGGCATATGGATTTTAAAATTCTATTGCTGATATCATAGTCTGTTTGTTTTAAACACGATGCTGACACGTTGGCCCAACTCGGCCTTAATGTCATCAGAGTGGCTAAACTCGGCCTTAATGTCATCAGAGTGGCTAAACTCGGCCTTAATGTCAACAGTGGCCCAACTCGGCCTTAATGTCATCAGAGTGGCTAAACTCGGCCTTAATGTCAACAGTGGCCCAACTCGGCCTTAATGTCAACAGTGGCCCAACTCGGCCTTAATGTCATCAGAGTGGCCCAACTCGGCCTTAATGTCATCAGAGTGGCCCAACTCGGCCTTAATGTCAACAGTGGCCCAACTCGGCCTTAATGTCATCAGAGTGGCCCAACTCGGCCTTAATGTCATCAGAGTGGCCCAACTCGGCCTTAATGTCAACAGTGGCCCAACTCGGCCTTAATGTCATCAGAGTGGCCCAACTCGGCCTTAATGTCATCAGAGTGGCTAAACTCGGCCTTAATGTCAACAGAATGGCCCAACTCGGTCTTAATGCAAACAGTGGCCCAACTCGGCCTTAATGTCAACAGTGGCCCAACTCGGCCTTAATGTCATCAGAGTGGCCCAACTCGGCCTTAATGTCAACAGAGTGGCCCAACTCGGCCTTAATGTCAACAGAATGGCCCAACTCGGTCTTAATGCAAACAGTGGCCCAACTCGGCCTTAATGTCAACAGTGGCCCAACTCGGCCTTAATGTCATCAGAGTGGCCCAACTCGGCCTTAATGTCATCAGAGTGGCTAAACTCGGCCTTAATGTCATCAGAGTGGCCCAACTCGGCCTTAATGTCATCAGAGTGGCCCAACTCGGCCTTAATGTCAACAGTGGCCCAACTCGGCCTTAATGTCATCAGAGTGGCCCAACTCGGCCTTAATGTCATCAGAGTGGCCCAACTCGGCCTTAATGTCAACAGTGGCCCAACTCGGCCTTAATGTCAACAGTGGCCCAACTCGGCCTTAATGTCATCAGAGTGGCCCAACTCGGCCTTAAAATCATCAGAGTGGCCCAACTCGGCCTTAATGTCATCAGAGTGGCCCAACTCGGCCTTAATGTCATCAGAGTGGCCCAACTCCGCCTTAATGTCATCAGAGTGGCCCAACTCGGCCTTAATTTCAACAGAATGGCCCAACTCGGTCTTAATGCAAACAGAGTGGCCCAACCCGCATAAAGGCCAACAGAGTGGCCCCACTCGGCCTTAACGCCAACAGAGTGGCCCAACTCGGCCTTAATGTCATCAGAGTGGCCCAACTCGGCCTTAATGTCATCAGAGTGGCCCAACTCGGCCTTAATGTCATCAGAGTGGCCCAACTCGGCCTTAATGTCATCAGAGTGGCCCAACTCGGCCTTAATGTCATCAGAGTGGCCCAACTCGGCCTTAATGTCAACAGTGGCCCAACTCGGCCTTAATGCCATCAGAGTGGCCCAACTCGGCGTTAATGTCAACAGAGTGGCCCAACTCGGCCTTAATATCAACAGAGTGGCCCAACTCGGCCTGAATGTCATCAGAGTGGCCCAACTCGGCCTTAATGTCATCAGAGTGGCCCAACTCGGCCTTAATGTCATCAGAGTGGCCCAACTCGGCCTTAATGTCATCAGAGTGGCCCAACTCGGCCTGAATGTCATCAGAGTGGCCCAACTCGGCCTTAATGTCATCAGAGTGGCCCAACTCGGCCTTAATGTCAACAGTGGCCCAACTCGGCCTTAATGTCATCAGAGTGGCCCAACTCGGCCTTAATGTCATCAGAGTGGCTAAACTCGGCCTTAATGTCAACAGTGGCCCAACTCGGCCTTAATGTCGTCAGAGTGGCCCAACTCGGCCTTAATGTCAACAGTGGCCCAACTCGGCCTTAATGTCATCAGAGTGGCCCAACTCGGCCTTAATGCCAACAGTGGCCCAACTCGGCCTTAATGTCATCAGAGTGGCCCAACTCGGCCTTAATGTCATCAGAGTGGCCCAACTCGGCCTTAATGTCAACAGTGGCCCAACTCGGCCTTAATGTCAACAGTGGCCCAACTCGGTCTTAATGCAAACAGAGTGGCCCAACCCGCCTTAAGGCCAACAGAGTGGCCCCACTCGGCCTTAACGCCAACAGAGTGGCCCAACTCGGCCTTAATGTCATCAGAGTGGCCCAACTCGGCCTTAATGTCATCAGAGTGGTCCAACTCGGCCTTAATGTCATCAGAGTGGCCCAACTCGGCGTTAATGTCATCAGAGTGGCCCAACTCGGCCTTAATGTCATCAGAGTGGCCCAACTCGGCCTTAATGTCAACAGTGGCCCAACTCGGCCTTAATGCCATCAGAGTGGCCCAACTCGGCCTTAATGTCAACAGAGTGGCCCAACTCGGCCTTAATGTCATCAGAGTGGCCCAACTCGGCCTTAATGTCATCAGAGTGGCCCAACTCGGCCTTAATGTCATCAGAGTGAGTGGCCCAACTCGGCCTTAATGTCAACAGAGTGGCCCAACTCGGCCTGAATGTCATCAGAGTGGCCCAACTCGGCCTTAATGTCATCAGAGTGGCCCAACTCGGCCTTAATGTCATCAGAGTGGCCCAACTCGGCCTGAATGTCATCAGAGTGGCCCAACTCGGCCTTAATGTCATCAGAGTGGCCCAACTCGGCCTTAATGTCATCAGAGTGGCCCAACTCGGCCTTAATGTCATCAGAGTGGCCCAACTCGGCCTTAATGTCATCAGAGTGGCCCAACTCGGCCTTAATGTCATCAGAGTGGCCCAACTCGGCCTGAATGTCATCAGAGTGGCCCAACTCGGCCTTAATATCATCAGAGTGGCCCAACTCGGCCTTAATGCCAACAGTGGCCCAACTCGGCCTGAATGTCATCAGAGTGGCCCAATTCGGCCTTAATATCATCAGAGTGGCCCAACTCGGCCTTAATGCCAACAGTGGCCCAACTCGGCCTTAATGTCAACAGTGGCCCAACTCGGCCTGACTCAACACTGTTAAAAGTATATATTTCTATATAAATTTTATTTCGTTGGGGGGGGGGGTTGACTTTCTTCGGGGGTGGGGGGGGGGGGGCGGACACCGTTAAAAGTATATATTTCTATATAAATTTCACTTTTTTATTTCGTTCCGGGGGGGGGGGTAGACTTTCTTCGGGGGGGGATCCGCCCCCCCCCCCCCCCCCCCCCGAAGAGGTGCCTGGAAGAAACCCTGGATGTAGTGAGAAGTAAACCTTCAACCTTTTACAGAGATATAACGTAAACTGAGACATTTTACAGAATATATATATATATATATATATATATATATATATATATATATATATATATATATATATATATATATATATATATATATATATATATATGTGTGTGTATTGTGTTTAAAAAATAGAGGACATCCCCGACACGGCATGGAGGTTGCTTACACAGTTCTGTCCAAACCTCGTGGTGTCCTTGAAGTTGCCGAGTGACACACCGAGTGACACACCTTACGTCATTTTGTCTCCAAGCTTACCATTGGTCGGTATTACAGCACGGTTCAACGGCCAGTCGAAGACAGGAGATCAGGTCAGTGTTCCCACTTAATGAGTGGGGATTTACGGTCAACGATTCACACGCACACACGCATATATATATATATATATATATATATATATATATATATATATATATATATATATATATATATATATATATAAACGAGATCAATGGCCCGTGGAGGGAGAGATACAACGGCCACTAGGTTGATAGTTGTTTTTTCTCTAAACCAAACCCACCGCCTCAACTTCAAATTTGACCGGAAACCAAACATGACATTAAAACGGATAAACGGATTTCTATCCAGAATCCAGAGATGCATGAGAGAAACCACTTTTAAGATGAGACAAATGGCTTTTGTATTCACTGTTTACTCGAGAATCAATGACGTTATATTATTGTGTGTACTTTCTCTGCAGTTATTATTTATTTATTTATGTATTTATGTAGAGAGACAGTGATGTAGACCTGTTTAAATGTCTCTCTATCTGTTTAAATGTCTCTCTATCTGTTTAAATGTCTCTCTATAGTTTTCACTAGCGAACATAGCCGCCCTGTATCAGCAAACACTCGAAGATCTGCACATCGGCCATTTTAAGGAGTGGCAACTGACAGAGGACTTTTTGGGACAACTGGAATCGTTCCAGAAACTACGGACGTTTTCAATGTCCATGACAGCAACAACAACACAAAACGTAACTCTCTAAATACTTGTTTTATTTATAGAATGGCTGTAACAAAATGTAACTGTCTAAATACTTGTTTTATTTATAGTATAGCTGTAACAAAATGTAATAGCAGAAAGCTATTTTTTTTCATCTGACCATCACATTACGTTCTCTAATTACTTCTGGTTATATAGCCCTCTTAGCTTTTTACATTACCTTCTATATCTGTGTTCTAGCTATACTGGTCTGTTAAGTTTTTTACATTACCTTCTATATCTGTGTTCTAGCTATACTTCTCTCTCAAGTTTTTTACATTACCTTCTATATGTGTGTTCTAGCTATAATTCTCTCTTAAGTTTTTTACATTACCTTCTATATGCGTGTTCTAGCTATACTTCTCTCTCAAGTTTTTTACATTACCTTCTATATGCGTGTTCTAGCTATACTTCTCTCTCAAGTTTTTTACATTACCTTCTATATGTGTTTCTAGCTATACTTCTCTCTTAAGTTTTTTACATTACCTACTATATGTGTTTTCTAGCTATACTGCTCTGTTAGTTTTGTAGGTCAAGTGACAAGGTAATAATTTAGGTATAGCTGCCTATCATATCCTATATTCGTCCCTCGACTAGGCCAAAAAAGTTTTTAAGAATGTATACGCTTTGATCCCTAATTTATTTCCTCTTTGTTTTCACAGATTAAGTTTTTAAAGGTATTTTGTGAGATGCTGAAAAGAAAAAACACCTTAAGAGAAGTCAGTTTAAACTTTGGTGACAGGAGAACGATCGGCCCTCGGGTGCTGAAAGAAATTGACAATCTTAAGGAAGATTTGAAGGAGTTTGTAGATCGTGGCTTGGTCCTCAACTTCAATTTACCAACGGCAGACCCGTTAATGATGGAGCTTAACAAACGTGATACCATTTAAATAACCACGGGGTAGTTTGCCAAGGTTGGACCACTAGTTTGCCTAGGTTGGAGTTGTATTTTAGTATTGATATAAATCTAAAAACAAAATGTTTTTTTTTTTGTTTTTTTTTTGTACTGTTGAAAAATAAAGATTTTTTTTCTTGACATGTATAAAACAAATGTAAAAAGTGACTTAACTATAAACTATTGTTTATCCCAAATTTACAATGATTAGTTTTAAATTATTTGTAATTTAAATTGAAGTAATTAAAAAGAAATAGTTCACAAACTATGTCAATAACTGTCCTTTAAAAAAATGATTGCATGCCACGACCTAGCTATGTTCGTGTGTTATGACCATATTTTAGGGGTTATGGGTACTTATTTAAAGTTTTTTTAGTAGTTGAATCAATGAATGTAATAATAGTTTAATTTAGTAACTTATGTATGAACAATTTTATGATGAATCATTTCTTTAAATAGTCTGAAAAATGTCTATTTCATTTGTGTTAATATATTAAGTAATTAAAAATAAGTTTCCTTTTTTTTAATAACAATAGAAAAATGTTGCAAATTATGTATCAAGTACTTTTTTCTTTAAGAATTATGTTATTCACAGTAAAATTGTTATACATATAAGCTAAGAATCTTGTTGTTATTACTGATGACTGATATAACGTTTTAATGTCGTGTAATATGTAACATTGATCTCATCATAACGTTTTAATGTCGTGTAATATGTAACATTGATCTCATCATAACGTTTTAATGTCGTGTTATATGTAACACTGATCTCATCATAACGTTTTAATGTCGTGTAATATGTAACATTGATCTCATCATAACGTTTTAATGTCGTGTAATATGTAACATTGATCTCATCATAATGTCGTGTAATATGTAACATTGATCTCATCATAACGTTTTAATGTCGTGTAATATGTAACATTGATCTCATCATAACGTTTTAATGTCGTGTAATATGTAACATTGATCTCATCATAACGTTTTAATGTAGTGTAATATGTAACATTGATCTCATCATAACGTTTTAATGTCGTGTAATATGTAACATTGATCTCATCATAACGTTTTAATGTCGTGTAATATGTAACATTGATCTCATCATAACGTTTTAATGTCGTGTAATATGTAACATTGATCTCATCATAACGTTTTAATGTCGTGTAATATGTAACATTGATCTCATCATAACGTTTTAATGTCGTGTAATATGTAACATTGATCTCATCATAATGTGTTAATGTCGTATAATATGTAACATTGATCTCATCATAACGTTTTAATGTCGTGTAATATGTAACATTGATCTCATCATAACGTTTTAACGTCGTGTAATATGTAACATTGATCTCATCATAACGTTTTAATGTCGTGTAATATGTAACACTGATCTCATCATAACGTTTTAATGTCGTGTAATATGTAACATTGATCTCATCATAACGTTTTAATGTCGTGTAATATGTAACATTGATCTCATCATAACGTTTTAATGTCGTGTAATATGTAACATTGATCTCATCATAACGATTTAATGTTGTGTAATATGTAACATTGATCTCATCATAACGATTTAATGTCGTGTAATATGTAACATTGATCTCATCATAATGTCGTGTAATATGTAACATTGATCTCATCATAACGTTTTAATGTCGTGTAATATGTAACATTGATCTCATCATAACGTTTTAATGTCGTGTAATATGTAACATTGATCTCATCATGACGTTTTAATGTCGTGTAATATGTAACATTGATCTCATCATAACGTTTTAATGTCGTGTAATATGTAACATTGATCTCATCATAATGTCGTGTAATATGTAACATCGATCTCATCATAACGTTTTAATGTCGTGTAATATGAAACATTGATCTCATCATAACGTTTTAATGTCGTGTAATATGTAACATTGATCTCATCATAACGTTTTAATGTCGTGTAATATGTAACATTGATCTCATCATAACGTTTTAATGTCGTGTAATATGTAACATTGATCTCATCATAACGATTTAATGTCGTGTAATATGTAACATTGATCTCATCATAACGATTTAATGTCGTGTAATATGTAACATTGATCTCATCATAATGTCGTGTAATATGTAACATTGATCTCATCATAACGTTTTAATGTCGTGTAATATGTAACATTGATCTCATCATAACGTTTTAATGTCGTGTAATATGTAACATTGATCTCATCATGACGTTTTAATGTCGTGTAATATGTAACATTGATCTCATCATAACGTTTTAATGTCGTGTAATATGTAACATTGATCTCATCATAATGTCGTGTAATATGTAACATCGATCTCATCATAACGTTTTAATGTCGTGTAATATGAAACATTGATCTCATCATAACGTTTTAATGTCGTGTAATATGTAACATTGATCTCATCATAACGTTTTAATGTCGTGTAATATGTAACATTGATCTCATCATAACGTTTTAATGTAGTGTAATATGTAACATTGATCTCATCATAACGTTTTAATGTCGTGTAATATGTAACATTGATCTCATCATAACGTTTTAACGTCGTGTAATATGTAACATTGATCTCATCATAACGTTTTAATGTCGTGTAATATGTAACACTGATCTCATCATAACGTTTTAATGTCGTGTAATATGTAACATTGATCTCATCATAACGTTTTAATGTCGTGTAATATGTAACATTGATCTCATCATAACGTTTTAATGTCGTGTAATATGTAACACTGATCTCATCATAACGTTTTAATGTCGTGTTATATTTAACACTGATCTCATCATAACGTTTTAATGTCGTGTAATATGTAACATTGATCTCATCATAACGTTTTAATGTCGTGTAATATGTAACATTGATCTCATCATAATGTCGTGTAATATGTAACATTGATCTCATCATAACGTTTAAATGTCGTGTAATATGTAACATTGATCTCATCATAACGTTTTAATGTCGTGTAATATGTAACATTGATCTCATCATAATGTCGTGTAATATGTAACATTGATCTCATCATAACGTTTTAATGTCGTGTAATATGTAACATTGATCTCATCATAACGTTTTAATGTCGTGTAATATGTAACATTGATCTCATCATAACGTTTTAATGTCGTGTAATATGTAACATTGATCTCATCATAACGTTTTAATGTCGTGTAATATGTAACATTGATCTCATCATAACGTTTTAATGTCGTGTAATATGTAACATTGATCTCATCATAACGTTTTAATGTCGTGTAATATGTAACATTGATCTCATCATAACGTTTTAATGTCGTGTAATATGTAACATTGATCTCATCATAACGTTTTAATGTCGTGTAATATGTAACATTGATCTCATCATAACGTTTTAATGTCGTGTAATATGTAACATTGATCTCATCATAACGTTTTAATGTCGTGTAATATGTAACATTGATCTCATCATAACGTTTTAATGTAGTGTAATATGTAACATTGATCTCATCATAACGTTTTAATGTCGTGTAATATGTAACATTGATCTCATCATAACGTTTTAATGTCGTGTAATATGTAACATTGATCTCATCATAACGTTTTAATGTCGTGTAATATGTAACATTGATCTCATCATAATGTCGTGTAATATGTAACATTGATCTCATCATAACGTTTTAATGTCGTGTAATATGTAACATTGATCTCATCATAACGTTTTAATGTCGTGTAATATGTAACATTGATCTCATCATAACGTTTTAATGTCGTGTAATATGTAACATTGATCTCATCATAACGTTTTAATGTCGTGTAATATGTAACATTGATCTCATCATAATGTCGTGTAATATGTAACATTGATCTCATCATAACGTTTTAATGTCGTGTAATATGTAACATTGATCTCATCATAACGTTTTAATGTCGTGTAATATGTAACATTGATCTCATCATAACGTTTTAATGTCGTGTAATATGTAACATTGATCTCATCATAACGTTTTAATGTCGTGTAATATGTAACATTGATCTCATCATAACGTTTTAATGTCGTGTAATATGTAACATTGATCTCATCATAACGTTTTAATGTCGTGTAATATGTAACATTGATCTCATCATAACGTTTTAATGTCGTGTAATATGTAACATTGATCTCATCATAACGTTTTAATGTCGTGTAATATGTAACACTGATCTCATCATAACGTGTTAATGTCGTGTAATATGTAACATTGATCTCATCATGACGTTTTAATGTCGTGTAATATGTAACATTGATCTCATCATAATGTCGTGTAATATGTAACATTGATCTCATCATAACGTTTTAATGTCGTGTAATATGTAACATTGATCTCATCATAACGTTTTAATGTCGTGTAATATGTAACATTGATCTCATCATAACGTTTTAATGTCGTGTAATATGTAACATTGATCTCATCATAATGTCGTGTAATATGTAACATTGATCTCATCATAACGTTTTAATGTCGTGTAATATGTAACATTGATCTCATCATAACGTTTTAATGTCGTGTAATATGTAACATTGATCTCATCATAACGTTTTAATGTCGTGTAATATGTAACATTGATCTCATCATAACGTTTTAATGTCGTGTAATATGTAACATTGATCTCATCATAACGTTTTAATGTCGTGTAATATGTAACATTGATCTCATCATAACGTTTTAATGTCGTGTAATATGTAACATTGATCTCATCATAACGTTTTAATGTCGTGTAATATGTAACATTGATCTCATCATAATGTCGTGTAATATGTAACATTGATCTCATCATAACGTTGTTCTGGCACTGTTAAAACTCTCGACAGCTTCCGTTCAGTGGATGATTTCAAACATTCTACATAGAGACTAGTGCTGAGACCCTAGGATTAGAGACTAGTGCTGAGACCCTAGGATTAGAGACTAGTGCTGAGACCCTAGGATTAGAGACTAGTGCTGAGACCCTAGTAGGATCTAAGTATAATTTTATCACAAATATAACAGGAACCAAGTACCCACCGGGTGTGTTATGTGGCTTGTGTGTGTGTCTGTGTTTGTGTGTGTCTGTGTTTGTGTGTGTTGTGTGTGTGTGTGATAATCATAACGACTAGACGCCAATCTTGACCAGAGAAGGTCAAAGTTCAGCCCCAACAAAGTCGCCAGCAGTGGACGAGGGAATATCACAGTGAGATAAGTCACATCGGGGAGATAAGTCACATCAGGGAGATAAGTCACATCAGGGGATAAGTCACATCGGGGAGATAAGTCACATCAGGGAGATAAGTCACACCAGGGAGATAAGTCACATCAGGGAGATAAGTCACATCAGTGAGATAAGTCACATCAGGGAGATAAGTCACATCGGGGAGATAAGTCACATCAGGGAGATAAGTCACATCAGGGGATAAGTCACATCAGGGAGATAAGTCACATCATGGAGATAAGTCACATCAGGGAGATAAGTCACATCGGGAAGATAAGTCACATCAGGGAGATAAGTCACATCATTGGATAAGTCACATCAGGGAGATAAGTCACATCAGAGAGATAAGTGACA